GTGCGGTTTACTTCACCAGTACTATACGCAGCGGCAAAGTCAGAGGAATATCAGGTATTTATTGCTATTAATATCCATTTTTGCTGCATATTATAGTTGAGATCGAATATTCAAAATCGAACAGTATATTCGAACACTTTGAATAATTCACTCGATTCGAATATTCGAGAAGATGCTTTATCCAATAATTCGAATGATCGAATATTTCAAAACACCGACATTCGAATATTCGTTTTTCAAAAGTTTTTAAACTGATCGAATAATATTTGAGCTGAATGCCTGTAAAATCGTCGAATAATTGAGATTGATTTATGTTTGAATGAATTTGAACCTCAGTTATTTGTACAATAATAGTAGAACATTTGAAAACATATCCGGATACTCAGTCATGCATTCGTCGTTTTCAAGCTGTGTAAACTCCAGTCATATACATTGTTTGCTCTATTTGTACAAATGTGACATTTGTTTAGAAAACCTATGGACATGAAGTGCCACCCGTCTGCCCTCCTGTAGTATATCACGGAGAATGTCATCCAAATTTCATCAGGTAATTAGGTTTTTTTTCTGAGTTCTTTCTAGACTTAGATTTTCTTGGTTTCGAGGCATGGATTCTTTTGCCAGTTTCCAATCTTTTATCGTTTTCTTCCTTGAAGTGATTGTTTTCTAGAAAAGCGCAATATAGCTTCAGCTGGGACTGGGGACCATCATTTCCTACAGTGGGAATTTGGAAACATGTCGACATTATCGCCTTTGACGGCTATTTCATTGATGACTTTACTTTTACCGCTGAGCGAAGTGCGGGTAGGTTTCTCCATATCTTCATCTTCTCAAAAAATTACTATCAATCAGTTAAGTCTTGTTTTTTTACATTTATTCTATTTCAATTTGCAGAAACTTGGCTCATTAAAGGAGCTGTGAAAGCTTTTGTTGAACAGAAGCCTGTCAGAGTCGGGTTTAAGATAAGGATAGAAGAGCTCCATGTAGTAAAGGATTTCGAATTCAACACAACTGGTGGGGTGGAGCCGACAGTGCTAAAATTCGATATCAAAATACCGTCAGAGAAGATTGAGCTCTGGTGGCCGAATGGGCAAGGAAATCAGAAGCTTTATAGCATCATACTTGAATCTGGTGAACAGAGTGCGTTCTTTCTAAGATTATGCTTGTAGTTTTTTTTCTGTACTTATATTTTTGAAATAATTTCTGTAGCAACTAGCCTATTCAGAGATCCTGCATCAGCTTGGATTTCGTTATATAGAATTGATTCAAGACTATGTGGATGTAACGTATAAAGCTAAAGGACGGCATTTCTACTTCAAAGTCAATGATCGTCCTATCTTCTTGAAAGGTATCGTTTTTTATTGTTTGACTTAGCTTTGCATTTGCTCCCTTACTAGCACTTGAGCGTAATCTATACAAAACAACTGTTCTTACTTTATTAAGTATTTTTGGAAGGCAAATAATTATCCCTTTTTTCTAATTTAGGGAAAATTTCCCGCATAAAAAAACCAAATTACAAATACAATTCATTACGTAGAAGAGTCAACTAGCATGCGTAGTATACTGATAATCCGTTTTTCTTTCCATGCACTACCCTTATCTGCTCTTACATCGTAGTCAGTATGCTTTACTTTAATGTGCAAAGCTTGCCTATAGACGAACGTAACATTTTTCAAAATTAGTTTTAGAAATAGAATTTTACCTTTGAACTCCCTACATGTTTTTTTTTTGACAATTTCAGAGAAATTCTATAAGACTCCTTGTAGAACTAGGTAGCTTTGGAGAGAAATTTAAAGACAGCCAGCTTTAGCGCAAAACCTTTTTGAAGTTTAGAGTATTTTTTTCACAAATCCGACTGAACCTTTGAATGAATAAGTTGATTTCATACCATGTTTAGTAGCAATTTTAGCAAACAACCAAGTTTGAGAACAAATCCGTTTCTCTTCATGAGTTTGTTTCATAAGCTCAACAATTGTAACATGAATTTGAATGGATGTAGCAACTTATTCACTTGTTTCTGTTTCAGGCTCAAATTGGATTCCCATATCAAATTTCCTTTCTGCAAATCACTCAGTACGCCTTGAATTCTTACTGGATTCTGCTGCTGAAGCAGGTGAGCACTTTGATTGCATTGACAGCGCCACTAGGTATCCTAGTGAGTGTGTTTAAGGTATGAATGCACTTCGTGTTTGGGGTGGTGGTGTATACGAGTCAGAGGAATTCTATAGCCTTGCTGATCAAAAAGGGATATTAATTTGGCAGGTGGGCATTTTCAAATGGTTGAGGTTTTCGAATATAGCAATAATCGTGTGTTTCAAATCTGATATCTGGACATAGTTTAACCCGTTGAGCAACAGTCACCTTTTAATCAGCTTTTTGCAGGATTTGATGTTCGCATGTGCTCTCTACCCTACTGATGAGAGTTTTTTAAATAATGTGAAGACGGAATTGACACAGCAGGTTTGCTTCCATATTAAATATTTTTAAAAGTAGAACAAAAAGCTGTGGTCTCAGTAGTTCTATTTCTACACAGTTGATTTTTGAATTTATACCTTCTTTATTTAGATTTGGAGGATCAAGCGTCATGCATCCATTTTAGTGTGGGCTGGCAACAATGAAAACGAGTTGGCTATCAGGTCGCACTGGTGGGATCCCGACAACTTTAGTGGTATGGTAATTTTGAGAATATATGTAGTAAGTAGGGAATTTCGAGAACGGTTATCTTTTAGAACAACGGCAAGTTCATGATTATGTCAAATTGTATAGTGGAACTATTAAACCTCTGGTTGAAGCCATTGATTCGTCACGTCCGTTTTTGCTCTCAAGTCCCAGTAATGGAATACGAACTGAAGAGTAAGGCTTGTTTCAATCCAACCTGTAGATTGCAGATTGTTTTATTGCAATGATTTTTTTCTTCGGCCTCTTCAGAGAAGGAGGTGTTGCTCTTACTCCAGACGATCAACGTTATGGTGACATTCACTTCTATGATGAATTTGCAAACCTATGGCGAGATAGTATTTATCAGATTCCGAGATGTGCGACAGAGTATGGAGTGCAGAGCCTTCCCTTTGCGTAAGCTTTATGAAATTATTTGTTTTTGATAGTTGTGAGGTATTGGTTTAATTTAATGATACATGATAAATTTA